GCGGGGGCGGGGGGCACAGTCAGCCCGCTTGCCCGGCTCCCCCTCCGGGCGGACATGCTTCGGGCCGGGGAGGGCTTTGGCGCGCAAGTACGCACGCACGTACGACCACAAAACAACGGAAGACAGGACCCACCAAATCCCCCAAGGCCCTGGCCTGTGGGCGCAGAGGCGCGACACCACGCAAACGGGTCTCGGCCAGCCCCCCTCCCCCCCCCCCACCCACCCCCGCCCCCACCGAGAGAACGCCCTCCCCCTGAGGGCGCCAAAGGCGGGGAGAAAGGACAGAATTGGGAAGGAGCCCTTGCCTGGGCGAGACCAATCCTCTCGGGAGCAGGGGGGGGATGTTCGCGGCCTCCGCGTGTGTATGGACGCGGGGGGCCCTCGCCCGCCAGGCGGGCCCCCCCCCCCCCCCCCCCCCCCGCGCCGTGGTGACTAGGCCGGCACGACATTGGGGGCACCCTTTCCCCGAAGGCCGAAGCTCCCCTTTGCTCCAAGGTGCGTGGGTGGCTAATGCGCAAGGAGAAATGTGCCCTCCGGGTGGCCTCGGGCCGCCGCCCAAGGCGAGTCAACGGCCGGAGAGGGAGGGGGGGGGAGGGGGGGCGGGCGCGGGACAAGCGGAAAGACTGGCCGACGAGACGCCTATTCCCCGGGCGGCGACCGAGCGCGAAAGAACGCGCGAGGAGGCCGCCGCGCCAACATCAGGAGAGCGAGGTTTGCGCGGAGAGTTCGCCGGTGGTCCCTCGTCGCCTGTGCCCCCCTCCGGACCCGCCAATGGGGCCGGTGAAACCGTCGTTCGCTCGAGGAGCACACTCCCCCGGGCGGGCGGCCGGGCAGGCGGGCGGCGAGCGGCAAGCAGCCAGCCAAGCTGGCACCATGCGGACTTTTTGCCAGACCAGATGACCGGAGAAAGGAATGTCGTTGGCGCCCTCGCCCCGGCGGGAGCCCCGGGGCCGGCAACACGGCCCCGGGCGCCGGCGGCGGTCGGCCGGGGGAGTGTCGGAGCCTGTGAGGGGGTGGGCCTGTCTGCACGCTCGGAAGATGGACACTCTCCCGAGAGGGAAGCTGGGCGTGCTTCTTGCGGCCTCTGGTGGGATATCAAATGCAACCTCAGGAGGAAGGACGTGCGCGTGCACGCGTGAGAGGTACCCTGAGAGCGTCTGTGCCGAGAGGGATGCCCGGGCCATTGGCGGCGGGCGCGGGGCGGGGCGTCTCGACACCCGGCGGCCCGCGCCAGGCGAGCACGGAAGTATTCGCGCCAGAGAAGCACCGCAATAAGGGGCGACCCGGGCCAGGACCCAGGGGTGACTCGTCCGAGCGGCGAATGGCAGAACCAACGGGGAGCGCGGCGGCCGCCATGTTCCCCCCCCCCTCTGCGCTCGTCGGAGGAGAAGGGCCTATATGGTTTTTATTTGATGCCCGGAATAATCGTGAAACACTTGCCCTGGCCGGGATTCGGGTGAAGAGAGTGCATCAGGGAATTTTCGGCCGGCCCCGAACGCCGCCTCGGGCCCATGTCAACCCCGGTCGTGGCGCGCTCGGGTCTCCCTTCGGTTGGCCCTCCAGGTGAACCGGGATAGTGGATGGCTGGGGGGGGGGGGGGCATGCGTCGCCGCCGGCGTGCGCCAGTGCTCGGTGCGATAGCTGTCCCGCGGTTCGTCATCGTCCTTGGGGAGGACCGCCGCAGTGCCGACTACGCCGTGGCGTGGAGTCTCTCTCTCTCTCTCTCCCTCCCGCTGTCGCTCTGAGTGTTGCTGCACGCCCGGCCGCTTCGCTGTCGTGTGGTGGATGTCCCCCCGTCCCGCCCCCGTCCCGAGGCCGGGTGTCTTTTCCCCGGGCGGCCCCCCACGCTGCCCCCATGGGGGCATTCTGAGCCCCGGGCGCTCTCGCCGAGTCTCTCGCGCCCAACCTGGCGCCGAGGGTGGAAAATAATTCCCCGCCACCAAGGGCGGAAAGGAGGGCCGTACCATGCCGATCCACACACACACACACCTCCCGGCGGCCGGATTGCTTGGTGCGGTTCACCCGGAGCCGCCGGGGGGACCTTCCGCTCCTGCTGCCCCCTTCGCGGGTGTGCTTTATTCGCGCCGGAGACCGCCTTCAGGGGCAGTGTGGCTGCGTGGGGCGAGCAAGGCCCGCCTCGATGGAGGGTCACAGTCCCCCCTAAGCGCCGGGAAGCATCCTCTTTGTCTCGGAGCGAATGGAATGTTTCCCCCTCCCGCTGGCCTCCCCCCCCCCCCTCGTCTGCCCCGGCGCGGGCCGTCGGCCGGGCCGCGCTTTTCCTTCTCCCCCTCCCCTTGCTGGAAATTGTATTCACCGCGGGGGCCCGTTTGTTGGGCGTCACTGTGATGGCGATCCGCCCGTGTTATTGGTTACGGCGAAGGGCGAGCCTCAGGCCGGGCACGCACCTGCCCCGCCCCCCCCATCGACGCCTCGCTGGACCAGCTCCGCACCGGGGCCGGCCTCGGTGGCATCCGGGGCATCCTCTGCTCGTGCGTGCTGCTGGCCCTGTACATGGTACGATGCAACGGGCCAGGTCTGCCTGCCCCGGCGGCACAAGTGCTGTCCCTCTTCCCCCCCCCCGGGCACGCACCTGCCCCCCCCCCCCCCCCCCCGGCCTGCATCAGGGGAGCCTCCCCTCTTCTTTGATACGCCCCAAGGCTGTGATATCCGCGCATTTGGGCCTGACTTGGGGTCGGAGGCATCTCAGCCCAACATGGACTCCCCCGCCCGTGCGGCTACCAAGTAACGGATTTTCACGTTTCCTCTTCCGGACCACCTGCTCTCCTCGCGGGCCGGACACGCACGCCACGCTGCCGGCTTGCGTGCTTGTGGCGCGCTCAAATCTCGCCCATTTGCACGCGGTCCCGCGCACGCTGGCAGGCCGGACGAACCCACCTCGCCGGCATGCTGGGGAAGAGAGCCCACCGCCCGGTACCGGCCCTGTAACGGCTAGCCGGCGACGAGAAGGGCGTCCCCCTTCTCCCTGCGCACGCTGGTCGTGTTCACGATGGAGCTGTTCCGGGCGCCGTTCCCCCCGCCCTGCCTCCCGACCGGGGGGGGGGGGGGGGGGGGCCGCCACCCGACGAGTCGCGGTTCTCGAGCGGGTCGCACATGCGCGCGCGCCAGCGAGCGGAGGCGCGGAGGCCGGGGGGGGGGGCAGGGGCGGGCCATCACTTGTACAGGGGGCGACTCGGAGTCTGGTGCACCCCGCCAACTGCGCCTTCTCAGCGGAGATATACTCCCCCCCGGGCCCCCACGCCGGTTGGACCCGAACGGAGAGAGGGCATGGGGCCCCCCTGGGCGGAGGCGGGGCCGGAGGGAGAGCGAGGCGCTCGGGCGAGGCCGCCTCCCGTGTACACAGGAGGCTGTGCGCTTGTGGCCCTTGCTCGCTTCCTGGGAAGAATCGGTGGATGAGGGGGGGAGGGGGGGGCTGTGTGAGGGGCAGGTGCTCCCGTCCTCCGGCACCTTACGCGCGTCCGTCCCGCCGCCAGGTTCGTGCAGTGGCCGGGGTGCCCTGCGGTCGGGGGTGGATGACACAGACGGCCACTATATAAATGGGCCCGCCCAAACTCCCACCTCCTGTGAGATGGGTTACCCTATCTGAATTCGACTGTGTCCTATTCTGATTTTGCCTCTTTCTCCCCTTTAGCCGTGCGTTCTTCCTCTGTTTTCCCTCTCCCCCCCCCCTTCCATCTTCCCCATCCGCGGCCCTCTCCCTCGCCCTGCTGCCCATTCCTCCCAGCGCAGCCGGGCGTGCGCCCCCGCTTGTCGCCGCCCATGCATGCCCCTTGTCCCATCCGCCCCCCTTCCCGCGCCCCGCCACAGAACACATCCGTGCATTGTTCTTCATCGCTCCCTCATCTGCGCAATACTCATTCTCTCATGCCCTGCCCCCTCCCTCCATTTTCCCCCCCCCTCTCTCTCCCCTTCCTCTTTTGCCCCCACAGAAGATGTCCAAGCTCGCTGCCATTGCCGTTGCCACCCTCGCCCTTTCCGGCTCCGCCCTCGCCGCCTCCAAGACCCCCACCTTCGGCGCGGTCGACTTCGAGAAGGACTGCCTTAACGTCACCCTCCCCAACTGCAACCTCCGCAAGGTCGTCGGTGCTGCCGCTGCCTCCGGCTCTGCCCCCGCCTCCGGCTCTGCCCCCGCCTCCGGCTCTGCCCCCGCTTCCGGCTCTGCCCCCGCTTCCGGCTCTGCCCCCGCTTCCGGCTCCGGCTCCGCCCCCGTCGAGTACGAGTGCGACGTCGAGTGCGCCGAGAAGACCTACATCTTCCACGCCTGCACCTCCGTCACCTTCACCGGTGGCTCTGGCTCTGGCTCTGGCTCCACCCCCGCCTCTGGCTCTGGCTCTGGCTCCACCCCCGCCTCCGGCTCCGGCTCCACCCCCGCCTCCGGCTCCGGCTCTGCCCCCGCCTCCGGCTCTGAGTCCGCCCCCGCCTCCGGCTCT